GCTTCCCAAGCGGCGCACTATCCAGTGCACCACCGGGCCGGCCCCTAAGTAACATCTATTGAATGCTTGCAGAGTGCCAGGCTCTGTGGTGCACACTTAAAGGCATAATCTCATTCAACCCTCCTAACAGCCTTTGGGGTAGGAGTGATTATTAGCCCCATTTTACAGATGAGCAAGTACAGAGAGAAATACTGATGGAGCTGAATCCACTTGACCACTGTACGGTTACGTAACCTGGGCAGTCCTCTTGAAGCCTCAGATTCCTCTTGGAGAATTGGGATCAGGATCTCTATTTTACAAAACTATTAGGAATATTAAATGAGATAGCATGTGCAAAGGAGCCTCATACATGCTGGGTGTTTGATTTTTTTAAAACCATTATAGACTATAAACTGTTGCTGAGCCAACAATTGGCTTCAAAGTCACTGTCATCTGAGTTTGCATTCTGTCTCCCCAAAGGAAGACATGGCCTTCCACCACAGAAGTGAGGGCCCCTGTTAATTTCTGCTACCAGGCAGGCATCATAAATGTGTGACACAGCCTGGTGTAAAAAAATAAATAAAAATAAATAGGAAATAGTAGCAGTAGAGGTGGTGGCTTGGTGTCCCGCCAAAGACATTCACATTCAAACACACCATGCAGGTCAAAGAAAACTCATTCCCACACCAGCTGCAGCCCACATGCAGCCAGTTTGTGACTCCTGGGGACTGTAGTTTAAAGACTCTACATTCTACCTGCCCTTCACTTATTATGTGACTTTGGAAAAGTCCCTTGGCCTTCCTGCATCACAAAGGGAAACTAAACAATGGCCTGTATCACGAATAGACTGGCTCATGTGTGTCGAGTTCTGAGTAATTCCTGGAATCGGATGCATAAAAAATTCCTACTAGTGCAATTAATGGGTGGCAGGGGCTGTGGTAAAGTGACAAATAACGGGATCCTGGGGAGTCCCCTTTGGCAACAGATCTTAGTGTGCTTCTGAAGACATTGATTAATGACTCTGCAGCATGTCCCTTGTGAGAAGCAAGGCAGGATAACACTGCTTTTCTGCAGGTGTGTTGAGAAGACAGGGAGAGACAGGGTTAGGCCACATCCAGACAGGGACAGCAGAGCAGGTTTGAACTCCGTCTCCTAAATATTCCAGATGTTACTCCCAGGCATTCCCCCCAAAGGATCTAAATCACTTTTCCAGGCCAAAGCTGGAAATCCCGAGGTCTTCTTGACCCCTGAAGAAACACTCATTGTTGTGGTTGAAATAGCTGCTCATGTTTATTGAAGAAGCAGAACATCATGCACCTGCAGGGATTCAGCTCCCACCGTTCTCCAAGGACTGGCTGTAAATCACCCTCGGGCTTACCATTCCCTCAGGTGGGAGCAAAACTGCTTTAATGAAACGTCCCCAGGAATAATAAACTAGAAGATGCACCTTCTATTGTACCATGCTATGAAGAATACAGATAACAAAGTGGTGACAGAATCTTGGCAGTGTGAATGGCCCCCAGGCAAAAGTGTCCAGGAATAAACTTCTCCCCCTTGGGCTGCATCTGCTACCAAGACTCAAGTGGCACAAGATTCTTCTCCCCAGACTGGCTGCCAGAGCAAGCAGCAGCTGGTTTTCCTAAAGGCAGAAGTGGAAATCTAACAGCACCTGCCATTTCCCATGGAGAAGACGGCATCATCAGGCCCTGCAGTGTCTGGGGTGGTTTCTGCACAGCACATCCTGATGAGGGGCCAGAAGCTTCTGTCAGTGGAACAGCAGGGAAAGGCACTTGTTGGCTTGGAGGGCCATCATTAGAAGATAGCCAAGAGACGGCCATTCAGCTGACTTAATTATACACTGGAAATTGATTGAATGTGCCTAAGTGATATGTACAGTGAGTACTCCCCACTGTAGTACTCTTAAAAGTTTCCTTTCCAAAGAGGGCCAAGTTCTTTGATCGTGTAAGAAACTGACCTAACAAGTGCACTCCTAACAAGTGCAAATGTTACTATCAGGGTACGGACATGCCTTGTGGAGGGCAAGTGTTTGCATAAAGAAGCAGAGATTGGAGCACCTGGAACCAGCTCTTTGGGAGCCTGGATGGGAATGAGGTAAGGTCACCCGATCCCAATGGGTAAGGAGGTGTCTTCACAGGAGAAGTTCCCAGTTATTGGGGCAGTTCACCTCGAATTCAGAGATGTTAGAAGCAGTGACTGAGCAAATAGGAGGTTAGAATTTAGCAGTGGCTGGGATATTGCTCAGGTTCTTCCAATTTAGGAAGGCAGCTTGGTGAAACATGGCAGGCTCATATCTGCAACTGCCCTTCAGATTACAGTGCCCAGTAGGTGTTATCTTTTAACTCTGTTAGCTGGCGTTGGAAATCAGGTGTGATCCATCCTGGTTAATTAACTACCTGCTGCCCCGCTCAGGACTCAGTTCCCTTAACTGTGATGAGCTCAGTAAGTCTTAATCTGCCTCAGCCTAAGGGACATACTGGCTGGAGGAGGGGTGTCCTGTACGTGTCCTACATGCTTAGAAATAAAAGCATCCTCCTTCCCAAGATGTGCACAAGGAGGCCTCAGAAGGTTCCAGGGCTTGCTTTGGCTCACTTGTCAGGACCAATGGTAGTCCTGACCAGGAGAGCTGAGAACCACACGGACCCCCTTCTGAAATCAAGTCTGAGCCCCGGGATGTCTGTACACCTAGAGATTCCAAAACGTTCTCTACCCCAATCAGGGCACTTTCCAGGCTGCTCCCGGAGGCTGAGGCCAGACTCCAGGCGAGCACACGACCCTCGATCCTCGGGGATCCTGCAGCCTCTGGATTCCCAGGCACGGGGTCTAGGGCCAGGCCAGGAAGGGGCAGCGCGAGGAGGGTGGAGAGGACGATGCAGAGGCCAAGGTCGGCACCCAAGGGGAAAGCAGGACTCGCCACTTTATCCCATGAGACTCCACTAGGAGGTTTGAAACAGGTGCACGCAGAGAAGCCCGTCCCTCTCGCCGGCCCCTCGGCCGCCGCGTGCACCCC